TTAATATATATTTTATTTGTTATCTAAAAATGTTTAAAATATATTAAATTAATTATTCTAATATATAAAAAAAAATAAGTAAATATATAATTTTTAAAAAAATTTACAGATATTTTTATTATTATATATCGAATTTTAATAAGATACAAATCTGCCGCGCGCGAATAGTCGCGTCGCGCGGCGCTTACACTATAGAATTTTTATTTATTATTTTTTTTATGTAAATTTGCTTTTTACATCAAAATGTATAAATATCTAACACATTAAATAATTTCTTAATAATAAAAATATAAATAAAATTAGGAGTTGCGTGATTACAAAAATGAGCGCTGCACGATGCAACGCGACGACGCTGATTAATTACTTACCATTTTATTTTTAATAGCTCAAATTGATATACCCGAAGATGATAAAGTAAGTATAGAAACACCTTGGCTAGGTAAATTTAGATTAATTAGAATCGAAATGTATTGGAGCAATAGTAGTTTTAAGGGATCACAACATTCCGTGGACAGTAAGCATTTTCCTTTAGAGGTAAGGAATATTTTATTAATAAGACATATTTTACTTAATTTATCCTTGTACAAAGTGGTATTTTTCTCCTCGTTTAGATAGTTTTAATTCATCTTAATAAAAAATATAAAGAACCAACAAATAAACCAGATGCTGGCTTAGCGCTGAGTGTTTTATTCCAGGTAAGTTGCGTAAAAATTGAGTTTTGAAACCAAGTTTTTAAATGTCTAATAATTATATTTTATAATTTAATTTTATAGATAAAAAAGGACGATAATGAGAGATTAGATCCCCTATTTGATAATTTAAAAAATATTAAATACGCTTGCCAAAATTCTACATTATCTTCATCTTTACGTATCAAGGATATACTTCCTCGAAATCCTTATTCTTATATAAAATACTTTGGCTCTTTACTACATCCTCCTTGTCACCAAGCAATCACGTGGATTGTCTTCCGCCACTCCAACACCGTCAGCGAAAACCAGGTGAGTGATTAGATGATAAATCATTTTTGCAATAAATGCCAATCAGCAAGAGCCAAACAGGTTCTCTTCCTCTCTCTTTTTTTTGAATCAATATTTAGAATTTTTTAACAATTAATTTTAGCTGTCCGTTTAATTAAGTTTGATAAATGTTTTTCTCTCTTTTTTCCTTCATTAGACTTGTCTCGTTGTACATCCTGTCTTGTACAAATTGTAAATGTTTGGCATCTGTTTAGTTGTGTTACTTAAGTGTCAATGGAAGATTCGATCGATTCGTTTCTTCCAGTGCGACGCGATCGATCGCGTAGACGCTCGTGTAGCATTATTTTTGATTCAAGAAGAATTATAAAATTTATAATTTCAAACCTTATTTAATTTTAATATAATATCGTGAAAGAAAATGGAGGTAATTATAAATAAGTGGGAATTTATGCTTCTGAATAATGTTTCGCTTCTATTTTGCGACACGGCGCGACGCGACGCGATGAGATGCAACTACTGCTACTTTTCTAAGCTTTATTTTAATTTCTGGTTTATAAACTTTACTTTTAACTATTCTAGATGTTGTTTTTTAACATTTGTTTAACAAAAAAAAAACGCTTTATATTAGGTAATTTAGGGGGAGAGAAGTTATAAAATAATATTAAATTATATTAGGCTATATATTATTGTACATTCACAACAATTTAAATATAAATAATTATTTTTGTAAATAGCTAGCAAAATTACGTATGTTAAGAAGTACAAAGAAAGATGAAAAACCCGAAAAGTTAATTACAAAAAATTCCCGATCAATTCAAGATTTAAATGATAGAAAAATAATAACTACGTTACGATTGCATCATCATTGGGTAAAAGTTAATCACTTATTTATTAATTTATTATTAAATATATATATATATTTTAAATGATTAAATCATATTTTCTTCTAGGAATATCCAGTACCTTCATCTCTTTACGACTGGTGATAATTAGAACAGAGCAGAAAGTAGGACAGAATGATGTGACCTAAATTTGCAGTAATGATGATGAGATTGTGTTTATAAGATGAGATAATTATAAGAATCTGTTACTTCTTGAAAGAAATATTTCACAAATAAATTTATTGTTTTATAAAAATAATCAATATACATTCATTTACCTTATATTATTCTCCATATTGCATACTGTTTTATTTTCGTTTATCTGCATTTGGGTTTAAACTGAAGAATCTTCTCATATATTTGTGATTTAAATTATTAAATATTGGTAAAAGACGTCAAAAATGTGAAGACTTTTTTCTTATTTTCAACAATGAACATTATTTAAATTTCGTCTTTCTCTGTTTATTTTCGTTTCAAAATGGCGTGTTTCCATAAGAATTATGAGACCCTGACCAAATTTTTATACCGGGCCCGTCACAATAATATACTAGAGATATACTAGAGGTGTCAAATTCAAATTTACAGATTCCAAATTAATGCTTTTAGTATTTTTCATTGTTTCCTCAGCACTCTTTTACTGTGGGTACTTACTTTATTAAGACTTAGCCTATATTAGAAGAGGCTAGGGAATAACGAAAAGTAAGCTACTAAAGTTTCACTCTGTCAATTGAAACATGTGAGAGAATCTTTGATCTCAAGAGATCTCTAACACGTTACTCATGTTTCCTCTGTGGATATGTTTCCATGTTTCAATATAATATTTTCAACTAAAATTATCTTTATTCTAATTTTAAAACAAGATTTATAACAGCTGCCATTTTTAAAACAAAATGGTAACTGTTTCAATGCTTTATATTATCATAAACTGTAAAATCTCAAACAAAACTGAATAATATTTTAGTTTCTTTTACACTTCTTTGTCAGTCTTTGTATATAAATGTAATTAATTACACTGAAATAAAACGACGGCCGTTCTCTATATCTAAATAAATATACGAGCTTTAATGAATGAATAATGTAAATTTTAAATTTTTACATAAAAAAAAACTTTATAGATAATAAACAAAACGCGTTCTGGAACATTTACTTAAAGACAGGAAGCTATTTTTATTCCTAAGTTAAGTAAATTAAAATAAAAAAATAATTTTATTAATATATTATGAAGAAAATCACCGATCGACGTCTAAAATAGAGTAATAGATGTTGAAAAAAAATAACATATGTATAATTAATTAAAGATATTTATCAGGATAAATATATTAATTATCATTATAAATATATTTGGACGAACACAAATCATCATTTACTAGCCAGAGGTGAGACTATGAGAATATTTTACATAACATGTCTATAATGAATACGTTGGGTATTTAATAAGCTTATAATAACCAGAAATTATCCAGTGGTATCAGGAAATTATCGCCTCTCTACTGCGACACCATTCATCAGAATGTCTTTGATAAATGACATGTTGTACCTAACCTGGCGATATATGTACATTTTCTCCTGTCGATATTTATAATTCATAATTTATCTATATGAAAATTATTAATCATATTAAACGACAATATTCTATTGAGGTCATCTATTAAAAAAATATGTAGAATTCCATCGATTTTCAGTCGAATATATTGAAAAACTTTTCAAAATTAAATTTTTTTTATAAAGTTGTATATAATAACTAAGTAAATCCTTTGGTTATTTATTAACTCGATCAGTTATAAAACTCAATTGTTCGGATACAACTGCAGATTAAATGCTGCACACTACTGTAGCAGATATTACAGCAAGGGCCAGAGCTACAGGTGCATTAGGTAGTCACCTATGTCGCAAAAATTTAGGGGTGCCACAGCCAGCATCAGTTAAAGGGAAATAATGTATTTATCAATTCTTTTAATTAGATATAATATATATATATATTGAATATCGCATGTAGAAATGCAGGTTATTCAATACACAAGGTGTCTAGTAGTAAAAGGGCAGGACTTCAAGATGCCTAGGGTTTCAAAAAACTCTTGGGCCGGCTCTGACTACAGCTGACTGCAGATTTTAGTAACAGTTTACATATATATACTGTACATATTTATAGTTAAAACTATTATTTGTAACTGTAGTATACGTTTGTAATCGGTAGCTACATATAGTTACAACTATCTGTAAAGCTGTAATTGATTACAGTTGTTGATATCCGCAGCTATAAACAGTTACAACTATCGATAGTTTATCTATCAGGAGTCACGGAAATGACTCCTCGCCAAGTAAAAAATAGTCACTGACTGACTACATATACAGGAATTAGAGTTGCCGATTTTCGGGGATCGATTTCTCCGCCCCTCAAACATCTGAAGTAATTCCGAAAAACTCGTTCGAAAGAAAATTGTTTTATTAGGTAGTGTGCAAAAGTTCAAGATTTTCTGTAAAGTGCTTGCCGAAATATAAGCAATTGAAAAGTGCAAAAATCGCCAAAAGCTGTATTTTCTCCTTTTTCTTCATCCGGCATTGCAAATGCTTTTAGAGAGAGAGAGAGAGGAAAAAAAAAAACTACTTGGTCTAGAAAGCTCAAATTTTAAAGCTTCTCGTTATCAGTGAAATGCTGGCCAAACTTTCGGGTCGATAGGTCAAAGTTCACGGGGATTCCCAAAGTACTAATTCAATTTTATGGCTTAATTTTATGCTTATAAGGATAAAATCGCATGGAAAAAAGGAATTTTATTCAGAATGTTATTCAGAATTACAAAAGCTTAAATTTATACCAATTAAAACTTTTTATAACAATTTTTCGTTCGGTTCGAACGCATCTCCTTAATAATACAATTATTAAACAAAAAACAATTGACATCCAAACAAAACATCTGAGATTTAAAAAATGCACTAAATAAATATTTATGACAATTTAGACAACAGTCAAATTGTTTCTTAGCTGTTTTTCTTTGCTAAGGATAAGTTTGGTGCTTGGAAGCAGTACTCACAAGATTTTTATCTGTATTATTGTTTTCTACATTTCGTCTTCAAGCTCCAAGCTTGTCTTTACCAAGGAAAAACTGCTAAGAAAAGTTCTGACCGTCGTCTAAATTGTCATACATTTTTACATCTTACAAGTTAGATGTTTTTGTTTGGATATAAAGTTACAACTGTCATTAGAATCAACTATCCATTTAGAATTCGGCAAAGCTTAGTTTAACTCAACTAAGTTATCTGTAAATACCAAGCTAAGTTGAAGTCTTGACAGGCGAACTGCATGCTGAACTGGGGTATGTTGTAGCAAAGCTTATTTTCAAAATTATATCTAAATTGAACCTGTAAAAACGAATACATATTTATCTGATTTGCATTCACATATAAATGGGAAGAAACTAATCCTTTTTAATTGATTGGACCGAGGTTTAAGCAAATTATTATATTTTTTTTATTTTTACGTACATATTAAATGGTGCATTATTACACGGTACGGTACGAAAATCCATAATGGCAGTAACAGAAGTAAAAGCAAAAGTAAGCGTAAGATAAAGAAATTCACCTCGAACTAAGCTGAGTCGTGATCCGATTTGCCAGCCATCCTGGGTTTCAGCCAAGAGCTGGGCTGACCGTCAAAATTCTGAGTGGTATTAAAGCTCATATTATTTGGTAGAACTCTAGTTAAATTTATCTACAACTATCTTGTAACTATAGTGTAATTACAGCTACAGTTGTACACAGCTGCAACTATTTATAAGTATCATTAGCTGCAGTTAGCTATAACTTCTAGTTTTGTTTTTAGTGAATTTTCTTTTTGTTTTCTTTATAGATTAAGTAAAATTAAACCTCATTGTACACAGTTGCAGAATTTGACGTCAGCGATTACCCTTACAACATATAACTGCATGTATAACGAACTCCCAATTATCCGAGCACAAATTATCCTTGATCGTCAAAATATTTTGCCCATTTTTTCCACAGAACAGTGTAAAGAATGGGAAGTTTTAAACACATCATCAGTGTACAAAATTATACTTATTAGTAATGTGGTCTCTTCCTGAAAAGTTTGGGGACTCCCTGGTTTAGAGGATTATTTCAGATTATCCCTATTTTTCTGTTTTCCGGGCATACCCAGGCACTAATTAATGCAGATAATCGGGGATTCAATATAAAAAGTTCAAAAAGAACTTTTTATATTATTATAAAATGACAAAATACTTAATTTTGAGTGTAGGGATGGGTTTTATAAAAAAATTGTAAATGCTAATAACGAGTAAAATCGTCATTAATTCAGACCCTATTCGAGAGATACCACGTCATCCTTTAAACACCAAAATTTAATAGCATCAATCTCCCTAATACAGAAACCTCTCCGCAAAATTTCAGAAAATTTTGACAAAAAGAATAGGATTTATTAAGCTTCAAAATGGGTAAACAAAATCGTGTCCCCACACATACACACTAACATCCATATATACAGGAAAACACCCCAAATTTTTTAATTTCTCGTCGTTTCAATGTTTCCTGAGTCCAAAAATGTAAAAATCTTGGGGGTCATTTTTTGACCGATTGCCATACTTTTCCTCTGTTATGTAGTCTATAACAGCGGGGAAAGTAAAAATGGACGAATAGTGAATCGGCATAACTATTTAATTAGTAATATAATGAGCTTCATTATTTGTTATTATTATTATCCTTTCAAGTGATTTAGTTTCTCGTGTTCAATTCATTTACAGCTGAGAGAACATGAACATAGATTTATCAAATACAATGAAATGATCGTAAGCATATCGACATAATTTTGTGATTAAGCGAATCTCTTGTTTATATTAATGTCACAGCTACAGGCCTACATGTTATAGAAAATATACAAATGAATGTCATACAAGATTTTAAAGATTATTTTATTACAAGAATGAATCACTTTTACAACAAATGATGTTTGTTAAATATTGATCTAGATTTTTTTTTGAAGAAATTGGTTACGTGATTGATGCTATAGTAATGTCCATTACGAGCGAGGTAGACCTTCAATGGGATCAACTAGCATTGGTAATGGATGAGGAACGATGCTTCAACGCAAACTTTCCGTGATAAATTAGAGGGTAGACTAGAATTTGAAGATTTGAATCTAGACTAGATTCAAATCTGGATCCACCACTACAGCAGGCTAATATTTTGTTATAGATCCAAA